GCCGCCTTCCTTTTTACAGCTTCGGCCTTGGTGCCCCGCCCTCAGCATCTTCATTGGCAGCGGGAACTGCCAACGAGGGCTCCCCATCTTTCTTGAAGAATTCATCGACAGGTTTCTGGGTCCCCACCTCCTTCTTCTTTGGCTCCTTGGCCAGCTTCTTCTTCATACCGGCGAAGGATCTCACGTCCATGGCCTCCCCTGCAACACAAGGAAAAGCATATAAGTATTATACTACAATAACAATGCACAAGGAAATTGAGGAAATCACTAAGTACAAAAGAGAGGCCTTCAGGAATCACCTCCGGTGCTCTCATAAACATAGTCTATGGGGGGGTATCTTTCATCTTTCTCCCCACCAGCCAGTATCGGTGGAAGTTCAGATTGTATAGTTCATCCGGGAGGTGGCATGCTTAATCGTCACACGCTTGTCAGACCCCTCTGGCTTCTTGGCGAGTTTCCTCCCATTCTTCTCGAGAGCAACACTCCCTACCTTCAGGTGCCTCCAGAAACTATCACAAAGAGGGGCAGCGAAGGGGTTCTCCGCCATGCGGACATAACAAAACTTGTCCTTCCATCCTTTGTGGGACGAAGGAACATCGTTGAAAAGCCTGAACTCCGGGACTTGCTGCAAATTGGTGAAGCCTCCGGCGTTTGAATGCCCCCCGGCAGACTGACGTCGGCTATAACTATGGGTACATTCATGTATACATTTCTACAAGCTACCACACTATTATTTGCTGTTTTTACATTCAATTCTATACTAGTTGCAGGTTCTATCTTTAACTTCTCAACAAATTTAGAAGAGATAAAACTGTGAGAAGCACCAGAATCAAATAGGACATACGCAGGAGTGGTATTAACATAAATGATACCTGCCACCACATCATGTGCGCGGGCCTGGGCCTGATTCATTACATAAATTCGACCCTGATTGGGAGCATTTTTGTTGTTGCCTCCTCCCTGATTCCGATTTTGGCCCCGATCACCATCCCCTGTTCGATTTCCCGGGTTGTGGTTGCCCCGGTTCTCAGCTCTTGGCCTATTTTCACCTTGATTTCCGCCTCGATTGCCGCTTCTATGATTAGGGCCCTGGTTCTGTGGTCCTCTCCCCACGTTATCCCAGCATTCGAATGCACGGTGGCCCATTTTGCCACATGTGTAGCATTTGACCCTATTGCCGGCACAGTCCACCCCTGGGTGGTCTCTATTGCATTTTGTACAGTTGAAATGCCTCCCCTCTACCCCGTTTCGACAGTCACGCCTCTGATCATGACCCTGGAACTTCCTCTCATCCCTTGGGTGATTGTGTGTCGGTTCATAATGATGAACCTTGACCCGCTTTTCCCTTTGCCTATCCTCCTCTTCGTTCCTCCGGATTTTCTTGTGGGTTTCTCTTTGAAGTTGAATCACCCGATAGTGTTTGGCAGCCCTATAATAGGTATCATCCAGGGTTTGGCATTCTTGCACACTCAAAGCCTTCTGAGTGTCATAATTGAGTCCCCTGATGAACTTCTCAACCTTGCTCTCCTCATCGGGCACTAGTGATGATGCAAACTCCGCCAGCGAGACAAATTGAGAGTGATAGTCTTGCACCGTCATCTCCCCTTGCTTTAGATGCAAAAACTTGTCATAATTTTCCGCCTGCACGTGTGGCGGGTAGAATCTTTTCCGCAGTGTACGCTTAAACCGTTCCCAGGTGAAATCTGGTTGGGCGCGCAATCCTGGTCCCACATTAACCCACCATCTATCTGCTTCTTCATGCAGATAATAAACAGCGATGCCAATTCATTGCTCTTCTGGGCAATTGATTGTGTCAAATAGCTTGTCAAAGGTGCGTATCCAATTCTCGAGAATGGTTGGATCTTCTTGCCCTAGGAAACTCGGTGGATTTCGCGCCGCTACCCCGGGTTTCCATGTCGTTGCCGTTGTTACGCGGCTGGTTGTTTTGGAGTACCGTGGTTGCAATAGTATGAGTGAGTTGACTCAGTAGGTGCACGGTCTGAGCCAATTCCGCGTTGGTGGGCACAGCATTCGGGTCCCTTCTTGGTGGCATGGCGTCTCCATAAAATAATAAATACTTAGTATTAGTGAGAAATTTTTCCTACTTTCCCTAGGGATCCTAGAATCAAGGGTTCCATAGGCCATATATATATATATATATCACAAAAATAAATTGTATCTTACATGCAATCACACACAAGATTCACAGTTCGCATAGGAACATGTTCTTTGCACATAGTGTTCGTACATACCTTGGCCACTTTAAAATTTTGCCTTGCTAGGCATTCCCTTCAACATTTGGGGTTCCCATATGGGCCCACAATCATCACAATTATCATCATATTCATGCAAGGAAAAGAATAATACTCACAAAGTCCTCACCACTCAGATCATAAACAGCCCTCGGCCTCTGCGGTACCCTTCATCTAAGACCGAAGGGTTCGCCTTTTGACTTCATTTTGGGGGCATCCGGTGTACTCTTTTCCCCTCATTAGGATTTTTTCTCACAGGGGTTTTCCTAATGAGGGTTTTAACAAGGCATCTCCCCAAAATGAAGCAAAAGGCATCAGCCCTCGGGTCTCTACTGAAGACAGGCATTACTCTACTCCTTTTCACCCCATTACATGTGCCTCAAAGAGTGGGGGACTGGAGAACCCCTTCGGAAAATCACAAAAAGTTAAAAGTTTCCTCAAGGCATCAACAAAGCCTCCAGAAATGAGGGACTAACAGCTCCTCTCGGCAGCACTAGAATGCAAATAACCAATGGAAGGAAAGTCTCGCAACAAGGACGCCTTCAGCAGAACAACCACGATTACTCCTTTTCCCTCAATTACCTTTCGGAAAAAGGAGTGAGGGACTCCTGATGGAGTATATGGCCTAGGGACCTCCGGCCCACAGACTCCTGTTTCTCCTACACGGGCCCATCAAGCCCAATGAGCACACAAAGCCCAAACGTAGCAGCCCAGGCATGAAGAAGCCCACAGTGCACATTTGGATGCCTTCGGCTCTGTGGCCGAAGGCTCCAAATTCTATAAGACAACTTGATATTGGACCTACAAAGCTTCTGGTAATTTCTGGCTAGAATATAAACCTTCAGCTATTCTGTGCCCTCGACAGTATGTAGCCCTCGGTTGTATGACACCTTCGGCTATATGATGCCCTCGACATATAGCAGACTCGACGAAGATTCTTTTTAGAGACAGACAACCACCGCATTAAATGCGACGTCACGTCCAACCACCGCATTTAATGCGGTGCATGTGCGATTGCTGGTTCCACCCCGATTGAGGGCCCTCGCCCGTCAGATGTTTGACACGTGTCCCCGCCTAGCATTTATGGCTACTATAAATAGCGGCCGGTTTTTCTTGTAAACACACAACTTTCTATATTGAATACATATTCACTCTCTCTCTTACTTGCTCTGACCTCTCTCTGGGTTATTCCCCGCAATAACCCCTCGGATAAGCTTCCCCCTGGGCACACTATCCATCAGTATAATACTCCCTCCGTTCCTAAATAAACTTCCAACTTTCCTTTTTCGTCCGTTCCAATTAAAACTTCCACTTTCCCTTTTTGATAAAGAATTTGTGGTTCACAACATTTCTTACACATTTCTCTCTCCTCTGCACAACTCTCCACCACACAATATCAACCATCTTAAACTTTGTGCCAAACCCATTTGGAAGTTAAAATGGGAACGGAGGTAGTATTAAACTTCTTAAATGTGTTAAACTAAACTAGTCAATGTAGAAGCCGATGAACATATATCAAAATCATAATGAACTGAGCAGTTATTATACTGATTTATAAAGCTCAATTTCAATGCAATGTGTACAATAGATAATAAGTGTGATTTTTTCCAATCATAAAGCTCAATTCCAAGTTAGTAATTCCATCTAAAACATATTACACTAACTAACAATATGAAGATGACAATGAACAATATATGAAAACCTCAATCAAATTGCAATTCACTAACTTAAAGTCATTAATTCCATCTAAAACATACAAACCTAACTGAGAGTATGAAGATGACACTGAACCGTACATGAAAACCGCAATCAAATTGCAAGTGAGTAATGCATTTCATGAACTAATCGTTTCTAATGTAGTCATTATTTCAACTTTTCGGGAAATTAAACAAAAGAGTAAGTACAGAGATTACCTTGTCAGAGGGAAGAACCTCTTCTTTGTCTACGCTCTTCTTATTTTTTTGGTATTCGGTTGTTTCATTCTTCTCCTTTGTCTCAAAATCACTGTCTGAAACTTGACTATCGTCTGCTTGGTTTTCTTCACATTTCTCGGCCGAAGTCTTCTTTCGTTTCACCATGTTTGTTGTGGCTTTGTGTTCTTCGTTTCGGTTCACTGTGATTGAATTTTGCTTCAATTATGCTCAAAACTCGAACGTTGGCATCGTGTTCGTCGTTCACGGTGAAGCATTCATCGTCTCAGAGGAACGTCTCAGAGGAAAAGGTTTTGTTTTAAATGACAACAGAAAACAATCGGAAAAGTTTATGTAGGACAGTTTTTTCGGAAATAGGCGAGCATGTGGATGGAGCGGTTAATGTTTAGCTTTTAATTGAGATCATTTTTGTCATTGCATCTTAATTAAGGTCTTAGAATTGACGGTTGTCCTATTTTAGAAAATCTGATTAGTCTTTGGTCCTATTATGGTCATCTATACAATAACCTTTTTTTTGGAAGAAATCTATACAATAGCATTTAGAAATACTCCCTCCGATTCGAAAAGAAGTTTCACCTTTTCTTTTCGGGCAGATTCAAAATTAAGTTCTACTTTCAAACATTTCCTTATTTGGCAAATTATCTACATCAAAACAGTGTCAAATTGTGTTCAACAATGCTAAAAAGTGTTCAAACAGTGACAAACAGTGCATTCCACAGTAAAGTCAAATTTATTTTCTTAATACGTGTGAAATCAAACGTGGAATTGGATATAACATAATATACGAAGTACCATTAACTCGGTATGAAACACGGACGGCCCTGATCGAACACCTCACAGTGATAGTAAACAACAATTAATGATGCCCCCATCTTTACTGTTCCCAATTAAGTGATAATATCTCATTAATTAATTAATTCATTATCCCTTTCTTCCTCTCGATGATGGCTATGGCGGTTGTTTCCCCAGAAGCAATCACGGCCGTCCTATGTGTTGTCACGTGCTCCCTTCTCGCCATCACCACCGTCCACTCCGACGCCTCTGATCATCGGTACAAAGCTGGAGACCCCGTCCCTCTCTACGCTAACAAGGTGGGCCCCTTCCATAACCCCAGGTATGTCTGTATCTATATTTATTACGGAGTATGTAATTATTTCTTAATTAAAACAGTAATTAATGATACTCCGTATTATATATTACTCCGCAAATACAGAGTAATGTGCTCCCTATTTGATAAGGAGCGAACTATTTGCCTCTGAATATACGTCATTTATTGTTAATTTACAAAATCCTGATGTTTAATATTCTATGTAATGTTCCGTGAGGGATGTTTATTACGTTTGTGTTTTATTTGATACAATAAATGTAAGAGGATTCTTTCTCTAAGTTAATATGATTTCAAAGGCTTATAATGATGTAGATCATTTGTTTGTTTGACATTCTGTTTGAAATAATCAAGACGTTTTCCTATTAATTTAGTCTACAGTTGTCTACCTCAATTTAAATCGATTTGACCTATTTATCATATTTTTTTAAAAATTTATGTGCTTCAAGTTTTAAATCTTTACCAAATATATAGATATAATCCATTTGGTTGATCTAAATCAGATTGATAGTTGCATTTCAGATTTTGAATCCTTGGTTTTAGGCCATTTTTGTTAGAGACCTTATCTCTCCATTTGAGGTTGTCATATTTATGGTTTTAATTTTTAACTTCTTGTTTTCATTATTTTGATATTGTATGGTTCTAAAATAAAAGGTGTGAAGCAGCTTGCTAGGCTGTGACAGGCCATGTCTTATGAATGAAAGCTAAACTTGAAAATGTATTTTTAAGAGAAAATTACCAAATTAGAAGTAAAACAAAGTAAAAGTGCGAAAATAAGAGTAAATGTTTAATAGATAGAAATGTCATTTTAGTATAACAGTTACGGTTGACTGCCAAAGGCAGCTCCGTGAACAGCCATTTTTAGCATCACTTAAAAATCGGGATAGTTTCGTTTGCACTATGTAGTACAACATCACGTTTCATAATGAGAGTGTGTGTGCTTAATATATTTTTCACTAGGCAGGATTACATTAAATTTATTACATAAAATGATTTACAGGCAACTAAATCACAATATAACATCTTAAAGGGAAAAAATTAGCTCAGCAAAGCACAATGTACCAACTACCAAAGGCCCAAATAAATTATACTCCGTATAAACTACGGTTCGTTTAATATTGTTGCGGATTTTCAGGTTTTGATATCAAGATTTGATAGGTTGTATGATAACCTAAAAAGGAATTAAACTTATGCATATAATATTAGTTTAAATTAATGTCGACAGATCGGGGAAATGACAATTTTCTTTTCACAATAATGTTATTAGATTTTGAGAAAAGAGAAGACATAAAATAAAGGAGGATAATAAACGAAGCATAATTGTTTTCCTTTGTAGTTCAGCTTGATCTCACAACAGCTCAACCGCTCCACCATGTTGTAATTTTTCTTGAAATTTGTCAGTACTACCAGAAGTTTCAAATAATAATATGATATCTAAGCCTATCGAGCTCCAACGAGAAGCTTGATCTTTGAATATCATAATTTCGGACTATTCTTCATATAAGATTTACTTTTTAACAAGTATTTGATCCAAAGTCTATAATTGTGAGAAAACGAAATTAATTGGAGTGCATGTGTATCGTGTAAAAAAAGTGAGATTTTAGAGTAGAGATACTATCTCTAAAGAATTTAGTGTGTATTAGATTTTGTTATGTACAAATGCTAGAACATTCTACAATAATAGGAACTCTTTAGTAGAGAATTCATACTTTTAACTTTTTCTACTTAGATAAATGAATCACTCTTTCAATAATAATACTTACCTTCTTTGCTGAGGTATAATAAACTCATCCGACCTTTCCCTTTTGCATTTTGATTATCATTATTACTATTAAATTCACCTTACATTATTATTGCTAGTATTCCAAAATGAAAACATAGTACTGAAATAAAAATAAAGGATAAAAGTTTGCCTTCTACTGTGGGGTGATGATGGTAATGTTATAATTTCAGTAATAAGGTGGTTGGGTATTCTCATGCTGAGTATACATAGTTAGGGCGGAGGTAGGGAAGCATGCTAAGCCTTGGCCCACTCCAAATTTCAAAATATCCTTGGTTATTAGTGTAAATTTTTTGTGTGTAAAAATCTGTCTAAATAATTATCTTTACCGGCCCAGCCCAGTATATAGCCTTGAGTATGTCCCTGTTAACATAGTCATTCTTTGTGCATGACATAAATTTCACTTTAGTCATATTTTAAGAAATCTCATTATTTATTATCTTAGCAGCAACCAACATTACTAATTGTGCTAGGAATTACCACTAAAGTTGACTAAGGAGGAATTACAAAGCATATAATTTTACCATTAATACTTTGTATTTAGCTAGTAATATTTGTTATATTTATTGCCTTATTGGTGACTATCAAAAGGCTGTTGCTTATTTTTTTGTTTCAGTGAGACCTACCGATATTTCAACCTTCCCTTTTGTGCTCCAGGTTTTTCCTATTCCTCTGCTTTTCATGCAAATTCTATTACCTATATTTCATAAACAAAATATACTCAAACTATTAAAATGTGGGTTTCAGACTAATAAAAGCTAGACTTTGAATGAGTAGTTTTATGCTTTAAATGTTGATTTGTATCTTCATAATTATTTATTGTGGGTTAAATTTCCTTAAAACACCGACAAAATTGAATTTAATTATAGAGTTCTTTTGTAACTTATGATTCCCAAGTGCCAAATTCACCTTTTTGAATCGCCCAGATATTGTTTTGTGTTAAAAGTTTTTAACTCCACATTGATCATTCATGCATTGAAACTTTAAATAAAAACGCAGAGCATGTGCAAGAGAAGAAGGAAGATCTAGGGGAAGTGTTGAATGGAGATAGACTTGTGAGTGGTCCTTATGAACTTGATTTCTTGGTGGACAAAGAATCTGAAGTTTTGTGCAAAAAGCGGCTGACAAGGACAGAAGTAGCAATTTTCCGCAGAGCGGTAGACAAAGATTATTACTTCCAAATGTATTATGACGACTTGCCGATTTGGGGCCTCATCGGGAGAGTGGACAAGGAAGGCATAGAAGATCCCAAAGATTATAAGTATTTTCTTTACAAACACATTCATTTCGATATCCATTACAACGGAGATCGTGTTATAGAGATCAATGCGCGGACTGATCCTCATGCAGTCATTGATTTGAGTGAATCCAAGGAAGTGGACGCTGAGTTTACATACACTGTGAAATGGAAAGAAAGTAATATCCGTTATGAGGACAGGATGGATAAGTTCTCCCAATCATCTTCTCAGCCTCACCATCTCGAGATTCACTGGTTCTCAATTATCAATTCTTGTGTCACGGTTCTCCTTTTAACGGCTTTTCTTACCACAATTTTGATGCGAGTCCTCAAAAATGACTTCATCAAGTAAGACCATCTTCTAATTTCCAACTAATTCTGGCATTAATATATACTCGGTTTGTTATTCAGTGTTTTTAGGCTATAGCATAATTATGTGTCTAACCTTTAGCAGGAAATGTGTTTTAGACCGCTTGCATTGGATTTGACAGTTAAATGGTATTGAGCTATGTAAGCATTAATGCAATGGGGGTATTAAGACAATAACCAACGCTCAATGGTTACTAATGGACTTTTAATGCATAAAATTGAATTAATCTTCATTATCTAACTTCAGTGTAACACTAGCATTTGTTTGATATGTTATTTTGTATGTAGCTGATGTGAAATATTTTTTTAACTGTTGCTCTTGGTCATAATTTCTTAAAGTAACTATATATTGAAAGGTATGCACATGATGAAGAGGCTGTGGATGACCAAGACGAGACTGGGTGGAAGTACATACACGGTGATGTATTCCGCTTTCCGAAACACAAGTCAATTTTTGCAGCAGCGCTCGGATGTGGCACACAACTATTTACACTGTTAGTGTGAACATTTATTTTTTTCCATATTTTCAATGACTCATTGGCTTAATTTTATTTGGTACTTTATTTTTTTCATTTTTTGCCATAGAATATGTAAAACTGGGCTTGATCACATGTGTATACTCATTTTCCAGGGCAATATTTATTTTTATACTAGCGCTTGTGGGCGTTTTCTATCCGTATAATCGGGGAGCCCTATTCACTGCCTTGCTGGTAATATATGCACTTACTTCAGGTGTTGCTGGATACACAGCAACTTCATTTTATTGCATGCTTGAAGGGACTAATTGGGTAAGTCTTAATTCTACTTTTCCTCATTCCTCTTTGGATCAAATTTTTCTCATTTTCTAATAGAAGTCATAATGAGCACTCATATTTTATTATGTTCATAATTATTGGTTATGGTCACTGGGTACTCTTCTCCTTAATATTTCGATTTCTATATCTAACCATTACAATTTTCAATCGATCACATTATTATGTTCATTATGTAATAATACAATTTGCTAAGCCATATAACTGAGCTATCCTATATTCCTATTATATTGACCTATTAATCTAAGGACCATTTATGTGGCACTCCAGTTAGTTTAGATCAGAGCAAATCAGATCATACTGCAATAGCATTAAAAATGCTAGATCATGACAATTCCAGTTCAAATCAGATTAGACCAACTTTAGATAGTTAAAATACACAAAATATCAGCCCATCGCAAGACCTAGTTTATTAGGCTTAAATACATTAGTTCAGATCAGCCCAGTTCAGACCATATTAGTTTATTGGGAAAGTTCCCGAAATAGGACTAAGACAGTTTCAAAATTCCAAAATAGGACTGCCATGTTTTTTATTCCCAAAATAGGAATAATTACTGTCATGTTATGGCAGTACCAGACTTCAAACATGGCATTATTTTCTAAACATGGCAGTAATTAGTCCTATTTTGCGAATAAAAACATGGCAGTCCTATTTTGGAATTTTTAAACTGTTTTAGTCCTATTTCGGGTAATATCTCTAGTTTATTTTGTTGGGGTCTCTCCTTAGTTGGAGAGGTTCTAGAAAATTCTAGAGCTTTCTAAAGAAGTGTAAAATTTTCTAGAATGTTCTGGAGACCTCTAGAGAAATATAGAACTCCATAGAAGCTTGTTGAAGAGTTTGGAACCCTTTCAGAATATTCTAGAGATGGGTTAAAGATTCTGGAACCATATGGAAGGATATGGAAGGAAATAGAAGAGTATAGAAACTCCTAGATTGTGTTACGTATGTATTATAGAGAATCAATCTTCACCCTTTGGATACGAATAATCCCCACCACTCATTGTCAAGGTGGAGTAGTATAAATAGGGGTAAGAGAATTCAGTCTTATCCATCCAATCCAAGAGAGGAATCACTTCCTAGAGTGAGAAAGTAGATAATGAGAGAGCCTATTTGTACCTTGGGAATCTCCAAGCTTGAGTGAGCCATTGTAGAGTGAGTCAATTTTGTAAACGCATCTCCTACTATTCTTTTGTATGGCTGAAGAATCTCCATATTGGAGAATTATACCCGTCTGCTCTCATTACCTTTAATACTTAAATGCATATCTTAACTTCATGAAGTGGGAAATTCTGAGTTTTCCCAAATGAACATGTCATAAGTTCTAATATTTAAGATGTTCTCAAATAGCTCATTATATTCAAACTAGGAAACTCAAATGATCTAAGACTTGAAAAAGAATACAAGATTGATAAACTCAAATGAGCTATCGTTTCTTAGAGAAGATGTTGCCTATCTTACACCGCGCAAGTATAAAGATACAAACTTGCATAAAGCCTTTGTGCTACTCCCTAATCAAATTGATTTTTTAGGATAGAACAATAAATCTTATTAGAATTGCGTGTAAATGATGAATCTTGGCTTAACAAACAGGTGAGAAATTTGTTGTTCACTGGGTGCCTTTTCTGCGGCCCTCTGGTCATCACGTTCTGCTTCCTCAATTCTGTTGCAATTGGATACACTTCAACTGCAGCTCTCCCGTTTGGCACAATTGTCGTTATAATCCTAATATGGGCGCTAGTGACATCTCCATTACTCGTTTTGGGGGGAATTGCAGGAAAGAATAGCAAAACAGGGTTTCAAGCTCCCTGTCGTACTACTAAATATCCGAGAGAAATTCCGAAGCTTCCTTGGTACAGATCGGTTGTCCCCCAGATGGCAATGGCTGGCTTTTTGCCATTCAGTGCTATATATATTGAACTATATTACATATTTGCAAGTGTATGGGGCCATAAGATCTACACCATTTATAGCATCTTGTTTATTGTCTTCATCATTCTTCTCATCGTTACGGCATTCATCACAATTGCTTTGACCTACTTCCAGTTAGCTGCAGAAGATCATGAATGGTGGTGGAGGTATGTATATGTGGACACTCGTTATTTTAGAACCTAGATCCAAAATAGAGTCATTATATATAGACATATAGTACTAGTACAACTTTTAGTTTTTCTCCAGTTTTCAATAATCATGATATAATGTTTCTATGGACATGCAAGAAGTGCTACAACATTGGATTTTCCAAATCAGAAAGCATATAAGAAAGCTCATCTTATTACAAAAAACTAAGTTTAGTATTAGTTTTGTTTTGAAAATTATCTCTGGATAAAGTTGTGCATAACTTCTAACTTTTATTACATCATATTTAGCTTAATTAAAATTAAGCATGACAATCTTTTTCTAGTGCAAAAGCTTGAATTCTTTTATTGTGCTAATAATCCGTTTGTTACATTATGAATCAAATATAGGTCATTTCTATGTGGTGGCTCAACTGGAATCTTTATCTATGCCTATTGCTTGTACTATTTCCATGCAAGATCAGATATGTCTGGTTTCATGCAAACATCGTTTTTCTTCGGTTACATGGCTTGCATTTGTTATGGCTTCTTTCTTATGCTCGGAACTGTCGGTTTTCGGGCTGCCCTCCTCTTCGTTCGCCATATTTATAAATCGATAAAGTGCGAGTAGAAAGAGTTATTGCTTGATCTTAGCATGCATCTTTCATGCTGCTTAAGTTTTGGTTAGAAAGAATTTGAATTGATCTATTCAGCTTCTATATTTATAGTATTTCCGTAGCCCCGTCTTGAAAGGATACGGTATTTCAGATATTTTCGAACTCTAAAATACCAACGATGTTGCAAACGGTATGGGAAAACGGTTGTTTTAGTTGTGGTTTACACTGTTAGGGTTAAAACTTTAAGCCAAATGGTCAACGCAAAAAGAATACAATTATGCATACACTCATTTTTATGTTTGACCAAGTATTTTTAAAATGGAAATGCATTTTCATAAACTAATTAAATCAAATTTGTAGCCAAATTGCCAATAATACATCAGAAATGTATGTACCTTGCAAAACCAACACACGCTTCATACAACGAGGCATTGAATGGTCTAACTTAATGAGGAAACCCAAACAATAATAATACACTTCAACATGGATGGTACCAAAAGCATTTCCATTAGTATTGGGAAAGAATAGTTTTGGGAAAATAATGGCTTGCCCTATTGGGTGCTGTGGTCATGTATTTATAATAGGGAAAACTATCATATAGGCCCTCCTACTATACCAAAAAAAGCGATTAAGCCCTCGTACTATAATATCACCCAGTTGAACACCTCAACTTTCTTTAAACGCCCAATTTCAATTATTAGCCGGTAAGATACCGGTTACCTGAAAAAATGCCCCCTGGCTTCCTACGTGTCCCAAGCAATCCTCTTTGGCTTCCTCTAAATATCCTCGTCACTAATAAACCTCTGTTCGCTATCCTCTCTCTCAGATGCAGCTAAACTCCAGAGCATTTATACCCTAGGACGTCGATTGTTCATCTCTAGAGGGCTCGGATGAGACGACAGTGAGCAATCGATAGAGAGCAAAGGATTAAGTTTCGTACATGTGAGGATGTCTGCTACTTCGATATCAACACCCCAAAAAGGAAGTAGCCGCACTCTTCATTATGAGCCTCCGTTATACTGTAGTTGGGGTCTAAAGGCGCCTCTATGTGTTGCAAGAGAAAGCGGGAGGGCCTTTTATGGTTGTCAAAAATGGAAGGTAAAATTGAAATTATGTTAAATGTAATCTGATTGTGATTCTCTCTGAGATTGATGCGGTTTTTACACTTTCATCCAATTGATAGGCAGGCGGTGTTAGCGGGTGCGTTTTTTTTGAGTGGAAAGACATTATTGAAGAAGGGTTTGGGACTGACCACTAAAAGAGGAGTGAAAAAACAGAGGAAAGAACTGATAAAGTGCAACAGGTGTTGGCTAGACATGGTGAGCAGTTGAAACACATGATGAAAGTGATGCACAGTGAAATGGAAGCCAACAAGAGGTTCCGAAAACTGAATGGATGTGCTTGGATGCTCTTGTTTTGTATAGTAGCTATGGTGTATTTTCAACTAAGGAAGAGTGATTTGTACTTTTAGGTTATGTTTGAGTGAGGGATGTGCTTGTAATTTGTGTTGTTGGTAGGGAAACATTTGCCATCCATACGCCGTTGTTGATTGGTATTCATCAATTGTTGTAAGGGATATGTGTTTTGTAATTTACTAGTTGAAACACATGTTTTGCAACTATGGTAATGTTGTTTTAGTGTTCTGTTTAATAGGCAACTGCAGTTTAATGTTCTATTTATACCAGCTGCAAATATTTACCAATTCATCTAGTAATCACTTTCAATATGTGCACCAATGTCCATCTATTAATCACTTTCAATAATTCTGCACCAATCCATACCAAAAGGTGTTGTAATACTTGGCAATTATAACAAAAACCAGGTCCAATAATTAACAAAAACGACCTGCAAGTCTGCAACACTTCCAATGAAAATCTGCTACAAGCCTACAACACTAAGCAATTAAAAACATGAACTACAAAAACAGAACATAAACACTTATGTTAAACTCATAAATGTTAACCATAACCGGCTGATGTTAATGTACAAAAACAGAAGTAGAGCCCACTACAAAACATCACAAAAAAGCATGCCATATTTGACCTCCACTACGACAAAATACCGGAGGCCCGTCAGGTTTTAAATTAAGAGTTTATAGTAAAGCTTCCATATTACATGAACAAAAAAACACCTTCCAAGCGTTCATTACTAACTCTAAATCAATACTAAACATCATGGAGTGCAATTCCTTCACTTTCATCAGCTTGTGCCCCCATTATTGACCTCCGGCTCACCTCGCTTACCACCAGCTCTCCCTCTTTCTTTGCCTCTAGTAGCAGCAGCAAGTGTGGAAGTAGAAGTGGTAGGGCAAGTTGATCTATTATGGCCTTCTTTCTTGCATATTGTGTTCCTGAGGAGTGATGTTCAGACTCTTCCCTCACTCTCTTCTTCTTTGGTCGTCCAGTCATTTTTTTTGGCAATGGAGGTAAGATCTCATCACCTTCAGTTCTTGGCCATAACAGGTCACCATTAATAGGGTCTAAAGTGTATGCATATGTGCGTTTATACATATCCTTGGAGTAGCATGTGTGGATAAAGTCTTCAGGATCCAATCCTTTGTTAAAGATGGCACAAATTGCATGTGCACATGGGATTCCAGAGAGATCCCATCTTATACATGAACATGACCTACCACTAAGGCTTACCTTGAACTGTTGCCTCCCTTTCTTGATCTCATATCCATCATCACCATTAAAATCCACATGCCAAACTTGACTAGCAAGAATGTTCTTATTCAGCTTCTTTGCAATCAATGGTCCACAATTTCCTACCCAATATTCAAACATATTTTTGCTTAGATATATATCAATCACATAACACATATGGATTCGTACATAACTTAACCATTTTATAATAACAAATGTACCTGACCACTTAAGCACTCCATTCCTCTTCTTACCAATCCTCCTCATCATCGCAACCCGGATGTCTTCCAACATGGGTATGAGTAGCTTTTCCCTGCACTTCAATAAAGTGCTATTGAAGGCCTCAGACAGATTATTCTCAACTGTGTCACACTTCACATCTGTCCGGAAATAAGCCTTACACCACAATTTAAAAGGGTACTTTTCCAGGTCTTGAGCAGCTTCTCGGTCAAGCTTGCGTAGGTCATGTAGTGTGCGGTGTAATAGAGGTTCATTTGGAGATTTAGCACATGCCCAAAAATGTCTCCTAAGCACCATTCCACCATGCTTTTGGTTCCAATTTGCATGGATATGTCATTGGACAAACCCTGCAAGGAAATTATTCAAATTAGTGAACTGAAATTTAAGTGAAGCAAAATTATTTTATACATAACCAATTTACTGTAAGTGTAAATATACAGATGACATACCTTTTGTTGATCAGAAACTAGTGTCCAAGACTCGGCCGTGGTAATCTCCAAGTCTTTCTTAAGAAGCTCCAGGAACCAGGTCCATGATGAACTATTTTCAATTTCAACCACAGCCCATGCTATTGGGTACATTTGGTTATTAGCGTCTCTTCCCACTGCAGTTAATATCTCACCCTTCAATTGGCCCTTGAGAAAACAACCATCTAAACCTATCACTTTTCTACAACCATCAAGAAACCCTCTCTTCACCGGACCAAAACAAATATAAATCCTTTGAAATACGGGAGGAGCATCAGGGACCACTCTCACGGTGTGGATGACAACAGTGCTGTTGGGAATAGAGTTGAGGCACTCCTGAGCATAATCCCTCAGTTTCTTGAATTGATCTTTAAAGGCAGTTTCTGTCTTCACCTTAATTTCTTTCAGAGCTCTAGTCACCATACTTATAGACACATTGATCTTTAGGTCTGCTTTGATGAGGTTTTTCAACTCTGTTGCACCTATAGAAGGGTTCTCTAATACCTTTTCCTCATACCTATCCGCAATCCAATTTTGACTTACAACCCTCAACTTAAATTTTGTATTACACAAATGTATTGGATTCAGCACCTTTACTTGGAAACAACGCAACCTGCGTTCCCAACTGGCCGTGCAGGTATATGGGCAATTTTTAGCACATTTGACCCTTACCCTCATTGGCTCGTTTTTTTGAAATAAACATCTTTCTTTTCATGGCAGGCATATCTGATAATAGCATTTTTAAATTGTCTACCATCTTCAAATAACATTGCTAACTCGATTAAAGGCGGCTCAGACTCTGGATTATATGAGGAATGTAAAGCACTCTTTTTATATCCATTACCCCCATCTGATTCAGCCTCTGAATCCATATAGTGTTCACTTTCACCGTCCTCACTTCCATCTTGTTCTGATTCATTCACTTGAGGCATTTCTTGATCAATTTCATCAGGAAGGTCACACATTTCTTCTTCATTCCCATTCTGTTCACCTTCAGCACAATCTACATCAACTGCCTTCCTACTCTCTGCATGTGTGGCTGGTGTTTCATCTTGAGGGTGTGGCTCAAATGACTCATTAGGGACAAGGAGTAGGTCAACTAATTCAACCTCGTCCAAGCCATGCTCAACAAAGACTTCAATTTTACCGCAATGACTGGCCAAATGTATTAAGTGCAATGTGGTCTTGTCGTCAAACAATTCATACAGTTCTCCCATTGGATCGTGCGGTCTTTTGAAGTACAACCCTTATATATTTCCATACCTTCCTGAGCGCAAACACTTCATAAGGTGCGGGTAACAAATGAAGTCTGGATCTATCTCCACACAATCAACCCCACCACCTTTATACATGGTTTTTGGGCGCTGAACAAATGTCCCTCCATGATGAATAATAAGTTGAACTTTATCAAACATCCTGAAATCTTAAAACAAGCAATAAAAAAACGATGAAAATGATATACTTGCTTGAATGCAGAGTATCTACTATACTTTTGAAGAACGTATGAAAACTACACAAGTTGAAGCACAACAATCAACAATACCTATACTCTTCTACTCCCACTAAATCTGAAATATATAAGCGAACCCTAGAAACAATATAATTTCACTCGTAGTGGCAATAAGAATGAAGTTCGTATATCAAAACCTCGTATTTTAGGAAGGAATACAATTACACATTCAATGAAACCATTCAATGATAAACACATGAAGAACCAAGGATTACGTTCAATGAACATCGGATTACCTGGAATTCGTAACCTCGCCTCTCCGTCACTCCGTGTCAATGGCTTCAACGGCTGTAATAGGAACCAGGGACGGGAGTTAGGGATTTCAAATCGTCAAAG